CAATTAAAATCATTCATCTAGAGAACATGGCAAGTTGTTTTTATTTATTTTTTAATACATATAAGTTTTTTGACAGGGGTGTTAAACAGAGAATCATCTTTGCTTTAATATGTGGCAAACAAATGTTCTGTTAGTTAATGTGGTTTAATTAGAAGAACTCAGTGAATCTCACAGACAGCCTGCGCGCGCAGCGACGCGCTCATACAGCAGTCTCTCAGGAGGAGAGTTTAGTCACTCACACAGAGTTGGACAGATCTGTTCAAYAACAACATTCTGAACATATATTTAAAATAAAGTTAGGTTTTACAGACCAAAGTCTCTGGTAGTTCAGGAGCAAAGCGCAGGAAGAGTGGAGGAGGAGATGTATGGACTGATCGCTGCAGCAGCTCGAGTCGAGCTGGCTCGCTGCTTCAAYCAAACTGCTCTCACTGAAAGTCCCGCCCTGCTCTGCTCTGATTGGACAAATGGCTCTGGACTTCATCTGATTTGTTGAAGGCAGTGTCCGTTTAATCCTTATATCAGGGACCCGCTGTGGCACACCGAACAACGATCCATTCATACCAGTGCCGCTTGATTTTTTTTTTTTTAAGAAATCAGGTCAAACTGGTCGCACTCTAGAGCCCTGCTAGCTGTTGTTTTGACAGACAATCAGGTACAATCTTTGGGAGCTTTATGACATTCCATCTGGTGCGCTTTTTCCTTTTTTGACCGCCCATGCGTACCTGCGCACTGCTTATGTGCCACTCTGACCATAAACCTTTTATACCTGCACATTTGTTTTGGTCCTTTGCAGAATTGAGCATTTGGAGTTCCTAGATGAGAGGGAGCTGCTTCAACAGCTTCTCCAACACTACTGCATCTGCTGGGCCTCCAAGGACAAACTCAGGCTGGGTAATATGCCACACCAGTATTACAGCTGCTTTTTATCAGTTACAGGAAGTCTTGTCTGTTTCAAAACACTCCAAGGCTACAGTGGCACCTTTTCACAAGTTATTTATTTACTTTGTGCAGTCATTTACCTGAACAAATCACCTTGTGTTTCCTCAGGTCTGTCCCAGGTGGCGTTTTGAGTGTGAAGTTTTTCCACGTGAGTTCATCGAAATCAACAGGAGGTGAAAATCTAAGCGAGGAGACACTAGGGGGAAAATAAAGCCCTTTTTCTTCATCAAGTTCTCATCAGATAAACTGTTCCAGCTTCATGAAAGTTTGGTTTCACAAGCACCTGTTGGAGGTCAGTTTGTGCTTTTCATGTCAAAACAACAGTGTGAGTTACCGATTGTAAAATAAACAGTGGACACAACTAGAGAATCATTATGTCCAAATCATTTCATCCATGGAAATTAAAAACATTGAGACGTCATGCATTGGTACTTMTGTGATTTTTATTTACCTTTTTAAACAGCAAAAAGTTCACTTATTTGAAATGAGTCCTAGTACCATCTCCAAATTGAAGGCCAAGTTCCATAAAATGGGGGATGTCTAAGAAGACAACAACAAGAATCCACTGGATTTCTTCTCTAAACTTTATTCTCATCTTCTGACTCCAATCAGGTTCACAGCAGCAGTCAGCACAAGGCCTTCAGCTAAAACTAAACCAAAACAGCCCAGTCTGTCCAGGCTGGATCTAACAGAGAGACTGCAGAAAACCTAACAACTTCTTTCTATAAAATGAACCTTATAATGCACTTCTCTTCCTGGTTACACCCCTGGAGGTATTACCTTTTACGTCAGATGTAGAACGTAGCTCATTTTTGTTTAGGCTAAAAGAAAGAACACATGATGAGACACACCAACTCTCATTCTGTGAAATGATGAAAGTGTAAAAATACAAAACTGCATCAAACATTTAATCATTTACAAAATTTCCTTTACTGCTATTAGAGCTCTCCAAGGGCCACACTTTACGTCTTTACTGTCTTGGGAGTGTGCCGAAGCAGTCAACTAACGGGGGAGAAATAATAGTGTTACTGTTAAATGGGTACCAGGACATACTGGCAGTAATAGTAATAAGAGAGCTGATTACCTTGCAAAAGATGGCAGTCAGGCCCACTTCAAAGGACCAGAACCTGTTGTAGGTATCTCAACCGCAGTCTGTAGGACGGTCCTACAGACCTGGATCAAACGTCAACACTTAATCCGCTGGAGGGAGCCRACAGACTCCAGACAGGCACTGGAACTGCTAAATGGCCCAAATCTTAAGTTTGGAAAAACTTTTATCGCCCTGACAAGGAAAACTCTACACTGGTTGGAGTCCTAACTGGGAACAATCTGCTCAACCACCACAAAATAGTGATGGGACTCCATGACAATGGTCTGTATGACGTCTGTGGCATTGCATTAGAGACTTCTTTGCACTACATAGGCCACTGCCTGGATCTGACCGGTCAAAGGAAAAGAAATCTTGGGGACCCCTTTTTGGATCCTGAGAAGCTCAGAACACAGTGTTTCTAACCTCGTGTCCTTCATCCGAGGGATGCAAAGGTTTGAATGCTCAGTGCCTTTTTGGGGAGAGCAGTGGTCCCACTTACAAGGCCCCTGCTCATGTGGGTTCTTTATCTATCCCCACTATAAACCATAAAACATGCCTGACATTGTCAGGCATGCATACAAGCATATGGGGCCAATACAAACTGCTGAGTACCATTTTGAATTGCTGCAATGACATTTCATCTAATTGTACAGCCTGCTGCATCTGTTTTTCAGTTTAGATTTCTTGGTGACTTTAAATTGAGCCCTCTGTGGGCTGTTCATTTTAGTTTTCATCAAATAATTATTGTGTTCCTAACACATTACTCATTCCATCTCAGTACATCCAGCATATTGTTTTTTTTTTAATCTGATGTGTTTTCAAAGTGTTCCCTTGTTTATTTTTTCTTCAATGTAGTTTTTGTTATAATATTGCTTCCAGATAATAAAGACACATTTCCAATTTAATTAAACACATTTTTTAGATCTGATAAAACAGTTCAAATTTTGACCTTACATCCAATGCTTATGTTATGGTGTGAGAGAAAACTAAACAGGAGATTTTATGACCTATTTTAACATTTTCATCTGTAAAATGATACACAGAAAATTACTTAATACTGTAAGAAAATACATTTGAAAGAAGCACTAAAAATTTAAGAAATGAAAACATGTGGGCAAGTTCTTTATTTTCTGTTTCAGTTATCGATGGCATGATTCTCCTTCAAATGGAGAAAATAGTACTTTTGAAGAGTTTTCTAAACAGGTGTTTTGGTGTTTGTAATATCCAGTCATTTGCAAAGTGCTGACATAGCAAAATACAGTGGTGATTCGAAAATTGACATTGGCTACTCTAGGTAACAAAGAAATAAAACTAGATAAAAGTGGTAGTTCAAGAATATAGGAAATAATGTGAAAGTACAATTTCTAAAGGTGTATATGGTTTTAGTTTACATTGTTTGAATAAGGTTTTGTCAAATTTATCCTTAACTTTTATTTGAGGGGTAACCTAAACCATCTTCATTTCTTTTACAGTATAAAGTAACTCACTGCAGATGGCCTTCATTTGTTTTCATACATCTTAGACATGTAGGTAACCAAAAATCATTGTCCCAAATAGTTTCTTTTTGTGATACCAGTTGGACAAATTTCTGCCCAGTGGTTTCAGTTAATGTCTATTCAAGTAGTTTTCCCTATACAGTTCTGAAATGTTGGTCCACACTCAATGTAAACAAGGCATTGGTTGAATCTGCTGAAAACCACATAGAATTTGTACCTATATTAGCTGGCCTTAGTTTATGTATGGTAAATAAATATGGTCGAATCAGACAAGCATAGAATCTTGATGTTTAAGCGTAAATGTAGGAGTGTGTCTGCTGCTAAATGCAAAAAAGAAAAAAAGATCAAGTGAGTCGACTTTCAGGAAGAAATACTGGGGATCAGTGTAGCGGTGTTTTAACTCAGGAACTTACATATTGATTCTATGTGTTCAATGTGTTTTTTGAAAGTTTATTTAGCATTGTCCTTTATACACTGTCTCTGCAGGGTCCTGATTCAGAGATTTATGGACTTAATTCTTTCCAACCTAACTATTAGCTTTAATGTGTTTGTAGTACATGTAGTACAGAGAGCATAGGGAGGCTCCAGACTGGGCTTGAAAAACACACTTGAAGTATTTTTTTGCTGTTCTGTCCTCCGTGCTGTTTGTTCTAAACATGATGTTTAGGTGCTGTTATCACCTCTTTATAACATCATTAGGGCCACAGAGAGTAAAGTCCGTCTTGTTTATAGGAGTGGAAAACAATTTCCTCTGCTGGCAGATGTTTGGAGGAATGATTGGTGCTGGTTTGGCTGCATTTGAAACCAGAACACAAAAAAACATAAAAGAAAGAAAGGAAAAAAAGAGGAAAAAACTTGTCGCAATTCATTGATTGAACTTTAAAAGAAAAATGTTTGATTTAGTTTTGGATTGTTAAGCTGGTTTTATAAAAGAAGATTTGATTTTAAGATTAGGTGGTTAGCAACTAAAATACTGATGTGGAAAACAAATGTTATTCAACTG